AGCCCTGGAACTCACCACTCCTGGTGCAGCCTCAGGGCTTCAGGTTCTCATGCAGAGCCCCCCACATGGCGTGGGGCAGCAGGCATTGCTCCCGCACTGGGCATGAACTGGTAAGTCTAGAGCTTTTTGTTTGTTATTTTTTCCTTAAAGGGCTGGAGCCATTGCCGGGCTGGGAGAGGGGTGGGGGATGGGCCTGGCTTGGCTCATGGCAAACCAAGAGATCTTGTTTTAAGGAACAATGGAGATGCAGCAGTCTTGAGGTGTGGGTGGCTCCCCAGCTCTGTATAGTCATGGTAGACTGTTTAAATAAGGTGCATGATGGTGTTACCCCATGTTGCATTGCTTCTGAGTTCTGTAACTGTCTGCCACCTGCACAAGCACCTTCGAAGCCCATCCAAGACTTAACCACCCCCAAGACATAACTGTATGGTTCAAACCAGGGCCCTGTGCACCAAAGTGCATGAATTTCATCCAAGATTCGTGCCGGTGCAGGGATCTGCACACATGCCCAGGGTCTCTGCAGACTTCCCCATCCTGAAAAGGTCACAGAGGCCACAGGTATTTGCTGGACACTGTTGCTCTCTGGATACTGTGGGCTTGGTACTGTAGCATCCAGCCCAGCTTGCAGACAACTGTGGACAAGGAGCATGGGGCACTGCACAGCGCCAGCCTTGCCTGTGCAAGCCATCGCCATCCCTGGGTGCATCTCCAAGGCTCGCGCTCAAATGCAGACAAAGCAAGACAAGAGAGACCTGACACAAGGGCACCAAGAAGCTTCTGGAAATGCAAGTGAACTGGCCACATGCTCCCAGCATAGAACCATGCTGGGCAGGGCACCCAGGGCAGTGAGCAGCCAGGCTTCGCTGCACACCTGCTGGAGCCTCCGCCTGCCCTGCCCTGCTCGGCTTCCCGCTTCACACTCAAAGGAGCGGTAGCAAGGACTGGAATTCAGCCCTGGGCCACGATGCCAAAGCAATGCCCGTGCACACTGAAAAACCTACAGATTTTGGGGAATGGCGGGTGTTTGGTGCGGGCTTACACTGGCCTGGTGCACAGAGGCATGGGACTGGCTTCAGGACTTGGGGGGAGACCGGCAGAGAGGTTATTGCTGGGCACGCTTGCCCCTTCCAGCCTGTCTCTGCCTCCCCACACCTGCTTTGCTCTATCACAAAACACAGGGCATCAAAATCCATGCAGTGGCAACACCCACCCCCATGGGTCTGCCCGCTGGAACGTGGTCAAGGCGTCCCAAGGCCAGGAACGCCAGCTCAGGGTAGGCTGCAGCCTTTCTTCCCTAGTAATTAGCCTGATGGATGGGCAGATAATGGTCTGGAGGGAGCGCTCCCGTGTAGCCTATCCATCTGGATGTATTGGCAACATGTCTTCTCGCAAAAGGCGGTATTTGCATTTCCCTTCTCCACTTCCCACTCTTCTCATCGCCTTCCAGGAACCCCCAGGGTTTTCCTTGCAAATGCCAAGGAAGGTGCTATATTGCAGCCAACCATGACCAGAAGGCAAGGGCGGGGATTCCTGCAGCATTTCAATCCAGCTGAACTGTTGGCAGAGAGGTGGGGAGCTTCTCCACGTTCAGAGGAGCTTCGTGTCGCTCCATCCACCTCCGCATGGATGCGGGAGCAAGGTCAACTGTAATCAACCACAACACACCTAGAGGCGAGGGCTCTGCTATACCGGAGGATCCAGCAGACCCAGTGCCCAGTTATCCCGTGTCCAGCAATACAGCCCAAGGAAACTCTGCCCGGCACCTTCTTCTACGGGGTGGGACCGGTGATACCCCCTGGCTCTGATGGGGTCGGTCTTATTTACCCGATGGTGCTTGAGCAAAGCCCCTTTGGCACTGTCCTGATCAACCTGCTCAGAACCCCTGGAGCTGTTCCTGAGAAGGGCTGCGCACCCAAAGCAATAACCGACTTCAGCAGGTTTTGTGAGTCTCCCAACCAACATCTGAGAAGGTCCCGTGACATGGTTCAGCATCAGCGGTAGGCAGCAAATACCCTATGCATGCCCTTATTCTAGCTGCCATGCACCTGGCTGAGCACAACTCTTCCATTTTTCTCCCTCTGGCTCCTGCCTCTTGCAGCAACGTGAGATTCAACCCTTGTTTCCAGTAAGATCTTTATTTAAGTGACAGGTGAACCAATTATTGGTTAGGGGATCAATGCATTGGCTGTTTCCTGCGGGAATCTAGAGGCACGCAGGTGGCTGGCAGTTTGCTAGAAAGCAGCCAAGGCTGAAGTCGCACCAAGGGCGACCGAGGCTGATCTGTCTGGATTGGACGTGACCCCACAGGAAGCGCATGGCAAGGCAGCATTAAAAACCAACAGGGATCACAGAGCTCTTTGTATTTTCCACCGGTACTTTTGGGTGGGAGGAGAATCCTGATATAACACGCTAGCAGTTTCCCCTCTTGTCGCTGGTCTGCATGAAGGATAAATGCCTGCTGTTGCTGATGGCCATTGGCGTTACTGCTTTGGCTCAAGGTTCAGCTAAACTCAGACTTTGTCAAAAACCGCGGCTGGTGTGGTGGGGGGTGTTGTGCTGGAAATGAGCTGATGGTGTTTTATGAGCAAAGCTGAGGCAGCCAGCTTCTGGGGCACTCTGCAGCCCTTGCCCTGGATGAGGCTGTGGCAGCGCTGCGCTGTCACCACTGTATTAGCATTATCCTAAGCCGGGAATCTGCGCGTCTCAAGCAGCTTCCAAGGTTTTGCAGGGAGCTCTTGAAACCTGTTGTGACCGAAGCATTAGATCATGATGGAATCGGGACTTGTGGTCGAGGTGATATCTTTTATTACACCAACTAGACTTTTGCACACACAAAAAAAAAAAAAAAAAAGGGGCC